GGGGGCTGCGACCAGGACTGCAAGGTACGGCGGGGGGACCGGCTCGGCAGGGAAGGGAGCTGCTGGGTGCACGGCCCTGCCCGGGCTCCGCTGGAGCTTTCGGGTAGCGGCAAGGCATGCCCACAGCCAGCGAGAGAGCCTGAAGGACTGCTCCAGCAGCCTGGGCGGAGCGCATCGCACCCAGCGGGCTGGGGGGGAAATCACACTTCCCATTCGAAGCGCTCACCACACAGGCAGTCAGCATCTTGCGTGGGAAGCGGTTCGGAAGGTGAAGCAGCCTCTGTTTCTGGCATCTGGAGCCCAGGTCCCCTGGCTCTGTGACGTTGGGTGCAGGATGGAAGGTGCTGAAGAACTGGGCAGTGTTCAGAAGAGATCAGTTCCGATTCCTGTTTTGGGAAACCAGCCTGCCTCTTCTGCTCCATTTGTCCAAGAGAAAGTTGTTACACGCATTGGGTCCTTCACACAGGCATAAGAAACACCTTGATGTGAAGAGACAGGGCTGGAGGAGGACCGCAGAGCAAGTCCAGACTAAAAGCAAACCACAAGGTGTTGCCTGCAAGGGAGAGACTTAACTATGGGAAAACCCAGTCTGAAGCCTGGTGTGGTGTCTCGGTCCTGTCCCGTAGCTCCGTCAGCAGCAAATGTCTTTGTGACAGAGCAGCACGAGCTGCCACGTCTGGATCTGCGGGGTGCTGGGAGATGTGTCAAAGACCAGGGCTGTGGTGCCTGTGTGGACCTGGGGATGTGAGAGCATCAAGGCAGTGCCGACGTCCCCTTTTCTGTGCAGGTGAAGGCTGCTGGTGTGCTCTGCCGGGCCAGCAAGAATGACTGCGACCTGCCCGAGCACTGCACTGGCCTCAGCGCTGAGTGCCCGGAGGATGTCTTCCAGGAGAATGGCATCTCCTGCCAAAACGGCAATGGCTACTGCTACAACGGGGCCTGTCCCTCACACGGCGAGCAGTGCCGCACACTCTGGGGCACAGGTAGGTAGCTGCTCCCCCACCCTGCCCACCCTCTTTGCCCCGCACACTGGGTGATGTGCCTGGAGCCCTGGCTCCTCAGGCCGTGACCATGCTCAGCTGTGGTCCCCTCCTGCATCCCTAGCTGGGGTGCCATGGCTGCACAGCCCCTGGGGCCAGGGCCGCTAGCTTGCTGCGGGCTTTGGCTCTGTGTGACCCTTTCCGTGTGTCCTGCAGAGGCCCAGGTGGCTCCTGATGTCTGCTTTAAGCACAACAGCGAGCAACACCTTCACCTCCACTGCCTCACTGAATATG